TTACCACTTTTCTTTGCTCTGTTGTTTCTGGAAGGCTGTGCTTGAGAGATAAAAGAACAAGATCAAGATTGCACTTTGAAATATTAATAAAATGATTTAAATCTTGTAGATATGATTTTTCATTTTAATAATATAATTGAGACTAGCGTATACCAGCGACTTCGTTCGCGTCGAATTAATCATTTGTAATGGTGATGATAAAGGAAAGCAAGACTTTCCATTAACATACAAACTGGATAAAATGTTCTCACATTTATGTCAGCATGAGAAAAAACAATATGGCGATATTATTATATAACTTGGTAATATTTGAGGGGTAGTTTCATCTCGTTGGAATTTGACTTTCGAAAAATCCGTTTGCCAAAAATAAGCTTTTTACGTCAAGCAGTTTAAGCAGAATCGTGGTTAAGAAATTACCCAAATTTTTAGGAACACCCTGTATGATTTTTTAAAAAAATTTCAAAATATGTAAAAAAAAACAAATAAATTATGGTTGTACAAGCATTTTTCCGAAAGACTAACCGTTTTTTAAATAACAAATCTTGTAATATTTGCGGGACATTTTCACCCTCTTGGAATTTGAGATTCGAGAAACCCCTCATTATCGAACCCCTACACCCCACAGTCAATCCGTTTGCCAAATATCAGCTTTAAACGTCAAGCAGTTTAAGCAGAATCGTGATTACTCAATGGTCATATTTTATGAAACACCCTGTATAAATTTATAAAAACTCTTAAAATATGTAAAACAACAAAATAAAATATACGAGTACGTGTTTAAGAGTTTTTCCGAAAAACTCACCGGTTTTTAAATAAAAATTATTTTAATATTTTAGGGATTTAGGGAGTTTCACACCCTTAGAATTCGAGCTTCGAAAAATCCCTTCTTATCGAACGTCTACACTCTAAAGTCAATCTGTTTTCCAAAAATCAGCTTTTTACGTCAAGCGCTTTAAGCAGGATCGTGATTAATCAATGACCAGATTTTTCGAAACACCCTGTATACATTTTTAAAAAATCTTAAAATATGTAAAAAAAGGAAAATATACGTGTTTAAGCGTTTTTTCGGAAACTTGACCGTTTTTTAAATGAAAAATATTGTAATATTTGAAAGGTGGTTTCACCCTCTTGGAACTGAAATTTCGAAAAATCCCTTCTTATCGAACCTCTACACCTTAAAATCAACCTGTATTAGAAAATTAAGTTTCTTACGTTGAGTGGTTTGAGCAGGATCGTGATTAATCAGTATGTCAGTCTCTTATGGATTTTATATATTAGTATAGATTATAATCAACAAACATATCTGCTTTCGCTTTCACATAAATATCTTCCAAGTAAAATTCGCGAACAATGTGAAACCAGACAAATGCCAACGCGTCAACCAAATGTTAACTTGTGATCCTACAATTTTGTCATGTCAAGTTGTATTTTCTAAACTTTAGGCCCGTTCGAACCAGTTTTAAGTTACAAAAATTCATTTCGGGACACAATACGTAGGTACTATAACGTAGTAGTTAGACAGCACAACAAATTACATTTGACAATGATAAAATCATATGTCGGGACCAGACCAAGGGGACAAAACAACGACAAGACAGAAACATTCATGTTTTACGACAAAATTGCGACAAATTCCAATACATCTCTGCGACATTTTTGTCTCATTCTTGTTTTGTTTCAAAATTCGTAGACTTTGAAGTTTAAGCTCGAGTTTAAGACATGAAAAAATATGATCATGATTCTTAAACGAAAAGCCGATTTTTAGCGGAGGAAAGAAAATTAAAATCTTAATTTTTTTAACCTTTGTGAAATATGTCACTCCCTAAAAATCGTCAGAAAATGTCTTTTATGCTTCTTTACACTCAGGAATTTGTTAGAATTTTTTGAAGTGGTGGAACAATATGAAAAAAATTAAAACCTCATTATTACTAAAATCTTCTGTTTTAACTAACTTATATTTTTGTTTAGTTTAAAAAAGTGGGTAGAAAATATTTTTTCATTAAAAATACATTCTTACCAGAAATAAACATGAAGATTATTATAAAAAATGAGTCCGAGAAGATTTTAGAAAAAAAAATTTAGAAAGAAAATGAGTTTTTATTTTTTTTTTTCATATTGTTCCACCACTTCAAAAAATTCCTGAGTGTAAAAGAGTATAAAATACATTTTCTGACGATTTTTAGGAGTGACATATTTCACAAAGGTTGAAAAAATGAAGATTTTAATTTTCTTTCGTCCGCTAAAATTCGCTTTTCGTTTAAGGATTATGATCATATTATTTTTTTTGTCTTAGACTTCTAAGAATTAGAAAAAAATTATCATTAATTAATTTTGAATTTTACTATAAAAATAAAAATAAAATTGAAAAGACAGTTTTTTTTGAAAATCTCGAAAACCGTTTGTGTTAAAGAGCTAAAAATTTAGGTGAATTATTTTGATTCGACACCAAATCGATCCCCTGAGTGTAAGTCAAAAAAACCGAGAGGGTAGATTTCCCATATTAATCCGGCTATAACCTTTACGTATGTATATTCAGCATATCTTTAAAAAAAACCTTTTACAACTTCGCTGTAAAATTAGCAGGGGAGCCATCAGTTGGGTTCGTTGAAGGACTATTAGAGCTACAATTTAGAAATATTTTTACAAGAGACAGAGGGTCCCAAATAAATAAAAAATATCAAAGTTGTATTTTTTGAATGGAACACCCTGTATATTATTGCATTTTTAGTCTCTACGATTAAAATAAAGGTAAATTTGATTAAGGTTTATTACACTTAAACCTTACCGTTTTTGGTTTGGATAATATTTTCAATTTTGTGAAATTGCAGTATAAATTTTAAGACTTCATTTCTCCGAGGGTATCAAAGTTTTTAATACTAAATGTTTACTGAAGTTTATTTATTGATCAGTTATTATGTTGCAATAATAAAAATTTTACTACCTTATATAGAGAGTCTAAATATTTATTTTAAATAATTATTAGCTTTAAACGGCAATAACTTGTTTAATTTAAATGGAGCACCCTGTATATTTTATGAGAATCAGATGCACAATATAATTGTCTATCAAATTGTATTATACCATTTATTACCTATCTCTTCAAGTTTCCGTAGAAAATGCATTTTCATGTAATTTAGAACTCATTTATCAATATACCCATGGAATACTGACATTTTAGATTATTTTTAAAGATGTACCAAATGTTTAAAGAGTACAGATACAAATATTGTCGATATAGTTCTTTAATTTCATTAAAAAATAAAAAAAACTGTGTAAATATTTGTTAAAGAGGACCAATTAATATGATTCCAGTATTCAAACTACATTAATTGACTATTTGCGTTGATTAATAATAATTGCTCCAAATACTAAAAAACTGAATTATGTATATGTATTAGACAGTGTGGTAAAAAACTAACACCTTAAAAATGATATTTCACTTTTTGACAAATGCTTATTTATAACAACAGAGACGTTCATTTTCATAACTTATTATTATATTGATTTCTGATTCAAATCCACATTTATTTAGAATAATTTATTAACGAACACAATTAAGTATGTAATTAATTAATATTTGGGCGGAAATACTGGTGGTATCGTATGATCGAAAAAAAATGGGGTCCAGTTGGCTTGGAGATGACATTTACCATATAATTTTACATATAAAATGACAGCGATCTTCATTTCATAGCCATCGCTGACGCCGTTTTTATATTTTTTGTTTTATATATTTAATTAGTGGTATACTCTTTTATAAAGATTTAAATAGTTTTCTTTTTGCTTAAAATGGGCTAGTAATATTATCGTTTTAATAAAAATTATACATTTTGTACATTTGTTGTTTTAAAAACATAGTAAATGAGGTTCAAATTATAAGAAAATGCATTTTCTACGAAAACTTGAAGGGATAGGTAAAAAGTGGTATATTACAATTTGATAGACAATTAAATTGTGCATCTGATTCTCATAAAATATACAGGGTGTTCCATTTAAATTAAACAAGTTATTGCCGTTTAAAGCTAGTAATTATTTAAAATAAATTTTTAGACCACTCTATATAAGGTAGTATAATTTTTATTAATGCAACACAATAACTGATCAATAAATAAACTTCAGTAAATATTTAGTATTAAAAACTTTGATACCCTCGGGGAAATGAAGCCTTAAAATTTATACTGCAATTTCACAAAATTGAAAATATTTCAAAAACGGTAAGGTTTAAGTGTAATAAACCTTAATCAAATTTACCTTTATTTTAATCGAAGAAACTAAAAATGCAATAATATACAGGGTGTTCCATTTAAAAAATACAACTTTGATATTTTTTATTTATTTGGGACACTCTGTATCTTGTAAAAGTATTTTTAAATTGTAGCTCTAATAGTCCTTCAACGAACCCAAAACTTACAATTTGTAAAAATCTAATTGTTTAGCTACAATACTCCGTGTCGTATGTGGTGAACAACCCTGTATAGCATTTATTTCAGTAGCATACCTAAGTGAAGATTGTGTTTTACTCACCCTGTATTTTTGTTTATCCTGTTTTAAAATATGACTTTAAAATTATTAAAAAAAACTTTTAGGTCAAAGGCATAAAGAATTATTTGCGATTTCTTAATTTTTAGGGACCCTTAAAGATTCATATATCAAATTTAGTCACGAAAAAATGGCGAACTTACCTAAAAAAATATTATTAATTTTGATAGACAATGGAAAATAAATAGACACGTATTTTTTATTTTTTTCGTACGATGAATATTGACGGAAATATAACGTTTTGAAAAAATTGGTCACGCGTGGTGTATGACGTCACGCCACGCTCAGTATATCTATATATAAAAAACAAAAACTCTTGTAACTTTCGAAATAATCGAACTAGGAAAAAATTAAAAACAAGTGTCCATTTTTTTTCAGTTTACCACAATTTCTAACAAAGAAAACTTAATTTAATTTTTTTAGGTAAGTTCCCTATTAAAAACCAAAAAAATTACCTCTGTGTATCTCGCTTTAACAAAAATTATTTCAGTGAATGCAGTTTATTTGTCGTTTTTATTCACGTGATTCCATGGTTCACTCCTTGGTAACATAATTAAACTTGCACGAACCTAAAGAAAACGAAAAAGATACAATTAAAATAATATTTCAGTCTTTTACTTAAACAAGATAAATAAAACTACCTATAGCAAAAAATGCTAAAATATATTGTTTATTACCTTTATCATATAAGAGAAATGCTCCATCTTCTAGCTTAAATACCATTTTCTCCTGTATAATCATCAAAATATCTCTCCTGCAAGATAAAACATAAAATTAATTAAAATCGAGATTAAATAAAATAGTGAGATTTTAAAGATATCGATAATTTTTAGCGGTTGATCGGCAGAAATTTTTGATCGCGCGTTGCCATGAAAACGCTGGCGCTTGCTGCCGACGGAAAACAAAAACAATGACACTTCGCGGAATATGGTAAAAAATCGACAAAAAAATAGTAAAAATACGGTAAATAAATAAGTATTTCGATAAACTTACCGCTTTAATAGACATAACAGAGTTCCAGGAGGATAATTTTATCAAAAAAGCTACTAAGTACGAGTATTTCTACAAAAATATCGTGAAAAAGAACAAAATAATTTTTGACAAGACACTTGCCCGGCCGATTTTTCATCACTGGCAAAATTGTTGATATTTTGTAGTATGCTGTGACTGTTTGACGACCCAAAGAAGAATGTATTGTCGTTATGTTGTTAGAACAGACAAATGTTACTGACGATTTGTAGTTATATAACGTAAATTTTAATGAAAGATTGTTTTCGAAGTTAAATATTTTTAGAATAGGCTGGAATAGGTAAGAGTTGTTTGTATTATTCAAATTAATAATGTTATTTAACAAATATTTTGTAGAAAATCATAGAAATATGTAAAAATGTGGTTTTTGGAGTAGTAATTAATTATTTTTTATGGAAAATAACTCACTTTTTTTTAAATTTTGGATGTTTTTAGTCTAGAACTTAGCAAAATATAGAATTATGTGGATATGTTTCGTAAAATTTATTATATTCATGTCCATGTAGTACTGGGGGATACTACAGGTGGCGTTAATGAGGTTCACAAAAATGTGAATTTGTTTTCAATGACAAACTTTAGGAAGATTAATCATTCATTTTGAATTTTATCACCCAAGTGGCATTTTATTGTTAGATTGTTAGCCTTAACAATATACCGGGTGGTGCATCGTCGTTGGAAATATAGGAAATCCCATTCAAATTTTAAAGTGTTCAAATATTGGTTCCCCTATTGATTTTACAGGGTGGGTCAAATTCGACGCTTTTAAATGGAAACACCCTTTTCTATCAGAGATAGACAAAAACTAATATCGGTGTCTGGAGCTCAATTTTTGTCAAAAACATGATGGTGAAAACCGCATATCGATATCTGTAACCGTTTCGGAGTTACGGGGTGTTTTTCAAAAATATGCATTTTTAACAAATCGCTGTAACTTTTTTACTATGGAAAAT